CCCAGAAATCCTTTCAGGGAACTCCTAAAGCTGGTAAATACCTTCAGTAATGTGCCAGGATATAAGATCAACTCAAAAAAAGTCAGTAGCCCTCCTATATACAAATGACAAAGAAGCTGAGAAAGAAATCACAGAAACATCACTCTTCACAATAGTCACAAATCACATAAAATTTCTTGGGGTACCACTAACCAAAGAAGTGAAAGACCTGTTTGACATTAACTTAAAGTCTTTGAAGAAAGAAATGAAGAAGATACTAGAAAATGGAACAATCTCCCATTCTCTTGGATAGGTAGGATCAACATAATAAAAATGAAAATCCTATTAAAAGCAATCTATAGATTCAACGCAATTCCCATCAAAATCCCAACACAGTTCTTCACAGATCTTGAAAGACCAATACTCAACTTCATATGGAAAAAGAAAAAACCCAGGATAGCCAAAACAATCCTATACAATAAAGGAACTTCCAGAGGCATTACCATTCCTGACATTAAGCTCTATTTTAGAGCTACAGTAATGAAAACAGCTTGGTATTGGCATAAAAACAGACAATTTGACCAATGGAATAACATTGAAGACGCAGATATTAATCCACACACCTATGAACACCTGATTTTTGACAAAGGAGCTAAAAATATATAATTGAAAAAAAAGAAAGCATCTTCAACAAATGGTGCTGGCATAACTGGATGTCAACATGTAGAAGAATGAAAATAGATCCATATCTATCACCATGCACAAAACTCAAGTCCAAGTGGATTAAAGACCTCAATATAAATCCAACCACAATGAACCTGCTAGAAGAGAAAGTGGGAAGCAACCATTAATGCATGGACACAGAAGAATACTTCCTAATGATAACCCCAGTAGCACAAACAATAAGAGCAACAATAAATAAATGGGACCTTCTAAAACTGAGACGCTTCTATAAAGCAAAGGACACAGTCAATAAGACAAAAAGGCAACTACTAAATGAGACAAGATCTTCACCAACCCCAAATCAGACATAGGACTGATATTCAAAATATATAAAGAACTCAAGAAATTGGAAATCAAAATTCCAAATAACCCAACAAAAATGGGGTACAGAACTAAATAAAATTTTCAACAGAAGAATCTCAAATGGACGAAAGACACTTAAGGAAAGGTCCAACATCCTTAGCCACCAGGGAAATGCAAATCAAAACAACCTTGAGATACCATCTTAATCAGAATGGCTAAGATTAAAACCACCAATGATAGCTTATGCTGGACAGGATGTGGAGTAAGGGGAACACTCCTCCATTGCTAGTGGGAATGCAAACTTGTAAAAATTAGTATGACTTTGGAAATTAGTATGACGGTTTCTCTGAAAATTGTGAATCAATCTACCTCAGGACCCAGCAATACCACTTGTGGGCAAATACCCAAAAGATGTTCAATCATACTACAAGGACATTTGTTTAACTATGTTCATAGCACCATTATTTGTAATAGCCAGAAACAACCTAGATGCCCCTCAACCAAAGAATGGATAAAGAAAATGTGGTGCATTTACACATTCAAGTACTACTTGGGGGTAGAAAGCAATAATACCTTGAAATTTGCATGCAAATGGATGGAACTAGAAAAAAATCATCCTGAGTGAGGTAACCCAGACCCAGAAAGAAGAATATGGTAGGCACTCACTCATAAGTGGGCACTAGCTGTAAAACAAAGGATATTGAGACTATAGTTTATGATCCTAGGGAAGCTAAGTAACAAGGTGAACCCTAAGAAAAACATACATAGATTCACCTGGAAAGGGGAAATAAACAAGATCGGGATCATGAGGGTCGTGGGAGTAGGGAGGGCAGAATGGAGAGATGAGGGCCTAAGGGGAAGTGGGGGAGAGCTTGAGCGAATGGGATAGTTGAGATGGAGAAAGGACAGACATGAGGGCAAAAGAAGAGATATTTTGATTGAGGGAGCCATTATGGGGCTAGCAAGAAACCTGGCACTAGAGAAATTCCCAGGAATCCACAAGGATGACCCCAGCTAAGCAAGAGGAGAGGGTGCCTGAACTGGCCTTGCCCTATAGTCAGACTGATGAATATATCTTAAATACCACCATAGAACCTTCATCCAGCAACTGATGGAAACAGAGGCAGAGACCTGCATCAGAGCACTGGACTGAGTTCCCAATGTCCAGTTGAAGAGTGGGAGGAGTGAGAATATGATGGGTATACCCACTGAAACAGTTTGCCTGAGCTAATGGGAGCTCACCAACTCCATTTGGACAGGGAATGAACGAGCATAGGACCAAACTAGTCCCTCTGAATGTTGGTGACAGTTGTATGGCTGGGGCAGACTGTGGGCCACTGGCAGTGTTTATCCCTACTGCTTGTACTAGCTTTTTTGGAACTTATACTCTTTGAATGAGTATCTTGCCAAGTCTAGATATAGTATGGAGGACCTTGGACCTTCCCCAATGCAATGTGCCTTACCCTCTCTGAAGAGTGGATGGGAGGTGGGGGAGTAGGTGGAAGGGATGGGAGGAGGGGAGAGAGGGGCAATTGGAATTGGTATGTAAAATTTAAAAAGATAGTTTGTTTTCTTTTTTTAAAAAAAAGGTTACTGTTTGAATTGCTGACTTGAGTTTCATTAAGAAAAATTACTAAATGGAATTAGGACAGAATTTCCAACAAATTCTGAAGTTTTCCTAGATATATTTTGTAATTTTATAACATATTTTTACATAAAGGAGCCTTCTTGATAGTAACAATTATAAAATCAGATTATTTATCAACCCTGAAAAATATTGAAGATATTCTGGGTACTATGGTATCGAATAGTCACCCAAGATTTAATTCTTTGTTAAAAAATTATATTATTGTACAAATTTTCTTTAATCTTAATTATATAATGAATATATATTTAGCAAAGAATTGTTTTAAAATAATTTTATTTATTATTTATTATCAGTAGATGTTTTATTTGTGTGCCTATTTCAAATACGTACACATATAGTTTCACAAAGACTTCTGAGGGGCTAAGGGACAGCAAGTGGTAGCAGTTTAAGAAGTCTTTCTTTGCTGAACTTTCTTCTATTTTGCTTCTCTACGATCCCGATCCCTTTTCCACTGTAGCAGTTTCTAGTGCAGGTGAGAGGAGGCTTTCCCTTAGCAGGACAACGGAAGCCAAAGAAGAAACACTTCCCTTTCCTAAATCTTGCAAGGAGGACATGCTAACAGCTTAAAACCAGGATGTCCATGCTATCCAGTTATCCTTCCTCCCCGCCCCGCCCCCCCCCCCCCCGGGCACAGACCCAAAGGATTCCATCTTCCACCACACAGATACCTGCTCATCCGTGTTTGTTGCTCTATTCACAACAGCAGAGAAATGGAACCAGACTGGATGTCTATCAACAGAGGAATGGAAAATGAAATCATGGTCATATGTATCCACTATTTCCCAAACTCTCACGTTGAGTTAGGAGTTTAAGAAGTTGGGCAGTAGAACAATAGGACACCCTGATTGATACCTTGAAGCTCCAAGGCCCCCTCTCCATGTGTCCTCAACAACTGACTAGAGCACTTCTCCAGGGCCCTTAGGTAGATCTGGGAAGGGGTGAGTTTAGCACCCATTTTGTCTTAACACCTCGTGAAAGCCTTTATTCTCCCTCATGCTAGACTTCTAGGGGCTCATGCCAGATGGGCAAAACACCCTTTACACTGTCCTACTGGAAACTATTTGTGAATGGGCCATTTCTTATTTACTTGAAATGGTTTGTTCCCCTTTCACTCTCCTACTTGTATTTTGTCTTCAGTTCTGACCCTTTATGTAATAGCTGTTCAATGCCATGACTTCAGAGTTAGGTTGGTCTTAACTTTGCAGTGTGAATGAACCGGTCTCCTTTTTTATTACAAAGATGACTATAATATGTTGGACTGAATTTATAACCTACTCTTTCCAAGCTTGCTTCTAGTTCCACATTCTCTTAGTTAATAATGTCACTTATTTACTCTTAGCTTCCAAGTCAGGAAACAGTGAGTCATCCTGAATCATCTCCCATTTGGGACACTCCATACCCAATTCAGTCATTGTACAACACACTCTTCAATTCCCTTCAGTGCATTCTGAGTTTCTTTTCTTGCTTTATCACAGGTTTAGATATAGAGAACTCCTATCTCCTTCTTAATTGTTTCTAATTTTAAAACTCATTCTCTTCAGTATATCTCCGCTCACCAAAATAATCTTTCTAAAACAAATGTGACAATCACTGTGGGTAGTCACCAGAGAAGATTGGCTGGACATGGGTTTAAGCCAATTGCAAGTCTTTATTATCTTACTAGTGATTATACTGGGTATTCAGGATCCCAGTGTAGTCCCAAGTGATATCTGGTAGTGATATCTTACGCACGACAAACCATATTTTGGGTTGACATACTTCAGTTAACAAGAACAAATAGCCAGGATTAGAACTACAGAAGCCAAAAAGCAAGCTCAATACATTTAGAGACTATGAAAAAGTCCCAGAACTATGGACTTTGATGGATAAGATATTTATTTTAGTTTTGACTGGTGGTGCTGTGTAGGTGATGATTTTTTTTTTTTTTTTTGCAGCCTAAATGGTACTTTCATTATGGAGTCAGTTGTGCTAAGGACTAGGCCTACCAAGGTTGAGATCCCTGTTAGGAGCATATCTTCTTTCCTTTGCTGATGTCATTCTGAGGTCCTTTTAGCTTTCAAAATGCAGCACAAAAGTCTTCTATTGATGTCGTCTTTGTCTAATTCAACCATTGCCTCTCTGATTAGGAGATACATAGAATTATCTCAGTTGGTAATCTCTCTGCTTCTTCAAATGTTCGCTCATAGCAACCTTTGAGAACTAGGCTTGACTTTCTGGTGTTGTATTTATGGGTAGATGCTACCTTCAGTTGTTTCTAAGGACTTGCTTGTGATCTAATCAGTGTCTTTAAGGCCATTGTCTGGGCTCTTTATCCTGAAAGGTATGAAAATCCCCTGTTGCCTTTCAGGTCAAAAGCTGTGAGGATGTGAAACTGGAGTTTCTACCACTTAGGATGCGTGCTGGTAGAGAAAGTGTCATCAGCATCAGAAGAAAGTAAGAATAAAGAGTGCAGCAAGGGGACCCACAGGAGGGGCAAACAAGTCTTGGTGACACTGGGTCCTGACTTATGCTTGATATTGAATCTTTTCTGCTCATTTTCAATTATCAGCTGATTCAATACACTACCTTCACTTCTTCATTTCTGTGGTGCTGAGGATAAAACCCAGAGTATCTCAAAAGCTAGGTAAGTGCTGTAGCCCTGGGCCACATAACAGCTTCTCCTGATTTTTTCTCCCCAGTAAATTAGATTGATTTAGCTCTTTTCACATTAGGTCTTAACAGTCCAAGAAGATGCACTAGTTTCAAAAATCTAGTGTTATTGACATGATGCTTATGGTTTGGGCTCTGATGACACAGTATAAAATTGACAGATTGATTTCATTGGGACTTTACAGACTTGTGCACTGTAGTTGTTAACATTTAAGTTTACATAAAGAATGGCATAGTTATGAGCAGTTCAAATGTCTTAATTAGCACTGGAACACACACAGTGAAATGTAAGCATGTTCTTTGAAAGCTTATTTGTAATTTTATAACATTTAGCCAAACGGTTCTTAACTCTGGTGCTGTAGGAGGTTCTTCTGTTCGTGTGTTGCTTTCATTGGTTAATGAATAAAGAAACTGCTTTGGGCCTGATAGGGCAGAACTTTGGTAGGTGGTGAAGACAGAACTGAATGCTGGGAAGAAGGGCAGAATAAGAGATGCCATGAATCTTCTGCCTGAAATGGATGCTGGTTAGAATCTTGCCGGTAAGACACAGTCGTGTGGCGATACATGGAATAATAAAAATGGGTTAAATTAAGATGTAAGAATTAGCCAATAAGAAACTAGAGCTAATGGTTTCTAATAATAATAATAATAGTAATAATAATAGTAGGTATATATAATGTTTTAATGAATACAGTTTCTGTGTGATTATTTCAGGGCTAAGCTATCTGGGTGGCTGGAAAGAACAAGCAGGCCTTCCCCTTGCAACACTATGGATACACAATGAAGTCATCTAGAGAACTTATAGAATGACTGTTGCCTAGGAACATTCCAGACAAAGCGAACCAGAATCTTTCTGGGCGGGGAGGAGGGAGTGAGGACCTGACTTCGCAAATGCCATTTTAAAGAAGGGGCTTCATCTTAAGCCATATAATGGGTGGGGGCTGATCTCAGCTCCAGAAATGTGCTGCAATAGCAGAATTTGAATGGATACCCTGAAGATAGCCAGTTAAGGAGCAAGAGAGCAGGGTCATAAAATTTAATGAGGTTCAGGTATTCCTAGGGGTCATCCTGTCCTTAAAGACACTTTGTCAGTTATTAATGGCTCTCTGTTAGGTTTTCTTATCCCCAAACTGACCAAGGGTTTCAGGAACTACCTTACCCTATGCACTCCTTACCCAATCCCAAGACATGACCCTTCCCTGATTATTGCATTTCCCTTTTAAAAGTTCTACCCTCCCAGGGCTCGCTGCCACACTTTCCACACTCACCATGCTGGGGTGCTGGAAAGGTATTGGTCCAAACTTGAGTTTGCACATTAAAAACCCTCATGTAGTTTGCATCAGAATCTGGCTCTGTGATTTCATTTGGGGACCAGAAACTTGGACATAACAGTCTTAAGTGACAAGTGTTGGTAGTGTTCAAAGTGTCCCCAATGTCTACTTTTAGCATGTGTGAGATTGTCAACTTCAAAGATCTAGAATCACCTAGGAAATGAACCTCTGAGCAGGTCTTTAGTTTTAATAATAATAATAATAATAATAATAATAAGTTTGTGTGTTTGATGTGTAATAATAATAGTAGGTATATATAATGTGTATGTGTGAGTCCATGTGCATGCCCTGGTGCATGTATGGAAGTCAGACGAAAACTTTTGGGAGGTGTTTTCTTCTTCCACCGTGTTTTAAGGTGAGATCTCTCTTGATATTTTTTTTACACTGCATGCTTCAGCTAGCTGGTCCCTTAGCTTCAAGGCAATTCTCCTTTCTCTGCAACCCATCTCACCATAGGAGTGCTGGGACTACAGATGGATACCTCCATATCTGACTTTTTATGTACACTCCAGGGAGCAAACTCAATTAGTCAGGCTTGCCTGTCAAGTACTCTTACCAAGTGAACCATCTAATCAGTTTGGGCATGTTTTTGAGGGAGATTCAAGATTGGGTTAATAAAGGTAAGAAAACTCACTCTAATTGTGGGTGGCACTTCCCCTGCTTTCAGACTATCTATAGGAGAAAGGACATTGAGTATCAATATTTATCTCTCTTGACTTCTTGATTACAGATACAATATAACTGGCTTCATCACCCTCCCTGTCATGAAGGACTGACTGTACCCTGAAACTGTGAGCACAAGCAAACCCTTCTTCATAAAGGTCTTTTTCGTCAGACATTCTGTCACAGCAAAAGGAAAAATAACTAGTATAGCAAAGACTGAGAAGCACTGGTCCATCCTATATGCACTTTGAGGAATTCAGGTTACCCACACATGACATTTTGCTGACCTCTCCCTGAACCTAATTCCCTGCAGCTAGCTCAACACTAGCCACCAAGCTGCTGTTTGTTTTCATGCTATTTATTGTCTGGATTGGCATTAATTTTTGTGAAACTGGCCAGAAATATGATCAGAAATAAGCTCTGTATTCCTTGATTATTATTATTATCATTATTGTTGTTATTATTATTTTAGACAGGGTCTCATTATGCAACACTGGCTGTCCTAAAACTTGCTGTGTAGACTAGGTTACCCTTGAACTCACAGAGATCTGCCTGCTTCTGCCTCTGAGTGCTGTGATTAAAGATGTTTGCCACAACTCTTGACTTTCCCTTGATTCTTAAAATAGTAATGTCAATTTTCATGTTAATTCATAATTTTTCTTGGGTATATGGATATTTTCTCAGATTTATCTTGATAAGATTTTTCCTGAAAGAAGTGACACTACAAGTAAGAAGATAATTTCTGCTAAAATATGACATTTTATTAATTGGAACATTTCATACATTATGTTCACCCCTGACTCTTCCCCTAACTCTTCCAGATCCACTCTTAACTCCTCTCAACTTTGCATACTCTTTTTGTTGTTGTTGTTGTTGTTATTGTTGTTTTAGTTGACTCAGCAGGGGCTGTACACTTAAAAAAAAAACCCTGATTCTCCCCACCCTACACCATTAGCTGTCAATTGCTCCTCAGCTAGGGGTGGGATCTAGTAAACTAAACTATTGACTGCCTCGATTTGGTCCAGGTAACCACTGCTCTGTGAGTTCCCAAGTGTAGCAGTCCTGTTATATGCAGAAGACATGGTTCAGCCCAGTCCTCCCTGACTTGTGGATCTTATAATCATTCTGCATCCTTTTCCGTGAAGGCCCATCCCTGAGTCCTGTGTGCGTGCGTGTGCGTGCGTGTGTGTGTGTGTGCACGCGCGCACGTTTGTGTGTAGTAGGGATGCCCCATCGTGGCTGAGCTATCCATTGACACTCATCTTTGCCCTTTCATCATTCCCCACTGCCCATTGCACAGAGACTTCTCTGATGAGGTCTGAGATGAGCTGCATTGATCGATGTGTGGGAGTAGAGATTTAATCTTAGAGGGCAGCTTGGGCCTAAGAGATAATTTCAATAGTAAAGCTGATGGAAAAGAAAGCACTTAGAATGATACATCAAAACAAACACTCTTAGTATTTTATTCTGATTTTGAAGTTGTCTTATGTATTTTCCTGTTGCTGTGATAAAAGCAACACTAATTTAATGAAAAGGAGGTTTAATTTAGCTCACAATGCTACATATAGTCCACCCTGGCTGAGAGGTCAAGGTATCAGGAGCCTGAAATAGCTGCTTATACTACATCCACATTCAAAAGAGAGCAGTGAATGCATGCTGGTGCTCAGCTTGCTTTCTTCATGCAGAACAGTCAAGGATTCCCTGCTTATGGAATGGTGCCACCTATGCTGCTGGGTCTTCCCCCTGGAGACAGACTTTTCACCCCACCTTATTTAATGTGTCAATATGAAAAACAGACATATTCAGAGGCGATCTCCCAAGTGACTTGGTCAAGGACAACCTTAATCATCACAGTCCTCATTTCCCTCCCCTTCGTCAGTTCCCCTCCTGTACTCAGGGACTGAACCTAGTGTCTTGTCTATGCATTTGCTAGGTCAATACCCTACCACTCTCCTATACCCCTAACTCCAGGAGTTTAACTGTGAAACAAAAGGTTGCTTTACAGTCAAATGTGTGCTTTGGTCTGTTTTTGTTAAACCAATATTTCTATAGTAAAAACAGTTTCGAGTCAAGATCAAGAACTTGTATAGATTTTGATGATATACCCAATTAGAGACAGACATATTTTTCTTTAAATATATTATTTTGTTAAATTTCTATGCATGTAGGGTTTGTGCATATGAGTGTAGGTTCCTATGGAAGACAGAAGAAGGTGTTGGGTCTTCTCGAGCTAAAGTTGTAGGCTGTTGTGAGCCACTGATGGAGCAGTCTGCACTGTAAACTTCTGAGCTCTCTTTCCAATCCTGGACATATTTATCTTCATACACAGTTTGAGACCTATCATTTCACTTTAGCTTTTTATATGCATAAATGTAGCTATTTCACTTTGATTATAATAAAATTAAAGTAACGTAGGGAAGGATAGCAGGAAGCCTGGATAAATATAGAAATTAATTTGTTTAATTATTTAATCATACAAGTATTTAGCAGATCACCTTCTTTGTGCCTCAAGGCAGAGGAGGATTCAATAACTGATCACCAGAAGTTTATTATCCACTTGGGAGATAGGACATAAAAAAAAATCAATCTGTATCAAGACATAGAAAAGTAAAGTAAGTAGCAAGTTTGTGGCTAAATGCCCCTCCGAGTGGTAATAACCCCTCAACCCAGACAAGAGGCACATAGAAAAAGCAGGTAAAAGACATGCAATGAGAAAGACTATTTGGCCTATGTCTGCTTTAAGACACTCTGTTAGGATTTTAGTTTTAGAGTTTTGATAAGACTCTGTCAAAAGCAGCTTTTTCCTTTTTTGCAAGATTATTTAGAAAGTTATTTATTGGGGAGTTGTAGTTGGAGGTTGCTTTTTTCTTCCCGGCTACCTAGACCACGAAATAATCACACAGAAACTGTATTAATTAAATCACTGCTTGGCCTATTAGCTCTAGTTTCTTATTGGTTAGTCCTTACATCCTAAACTAACCCATCTCCCTTAATCTGTGTATTGCCACGTGGCTGTGGCTTACTGGCAAGGTTCAATCATGTCTGTACCTTGTGGTGGCTATATGGCTTCTTGCTCACTCCACCTACTCTCTCTCTCTCTCTCTCTCTCTCTCTATATATATATATATATATATATATATATATATATATCTTCCATCCTGACTATATTCTGTTAAGCCATTGACTGAAAGCAGCTTCTTTATTAACCAATAAAAGCAACAATACAGAAGGACTTTCCACACCAGGGAGTGGCCTGATATTACTTAAAATGTCTAAAATTTAAAATATACAGGTTATATCTTTAAAGAACTGGATTGGTAATAGAAGGCTGTGTATGCTCAGTAGAGGAATCTTGGCTTCACACCATCAGAGACTGCTGGTGGCTGTGTCTGAGGAGTAACAGGTGGTCATTGACTTCAGGGGATCGGCCCACCAGGAAGCAAAGCTCCTATGGGTGAATCTCAGATAGGCAAGCCCCCTGAAAGCCTTGGCCTCAGAATTTCTCTTGGTACTGCTGTGTCTTTGCCTCTGCCATTTTTCTCTGGTTTCTGGCATGATGTGAATGGGTGTGGGAAGATCCCCACTGCCCTTAATGCAGTGTGATTATCTCTTGGAAATATCCCATTCTACTGGGCACTTTTACCTGTAGATTATTATGAAGATGATTTCCTTCTAAACTACACTGTTTAAACAAAGCAGCTTTTATTCAATAATAGTGTTAGTTTATGTAGGATTTTGATGATTAAGGGTCTTTAATAAATATAGTAAAGGATTATGATAGAGGTTAGTTTAGTAGGAAAACTAATATAGGTAAATGGTATAGGAGGTCCTTCTGTATTTGTGTTGCTTTCATTGGTTTAATAAAGAAACTGCCTTGGCCTTTTGATAGGGCAGCACTTAGGTATGCAGAGCAGAATGCTGGGAAGAAGGGCAGACAGAGAGCCACCATGAAGCCAACAGGTCAGACATGCTGAATCTTTCCTGGTAAGCCATGACCTCGTGGTGAACACAGATTATTAGAAATGGGTTAAATCAAGATGTGAGTTAGCCAGTAAGAGGCTAGAAATAATGGACCAGGCAGTGATTTAAGTGAATGCAGTTTCTGTGTGATTATTTTGGGTGTAAACTAGCTGGGCAGCAGGAACTAAAAGCAGGACCTCTCTCCTTGCAACAGGTAAAAGCTAGATATGGTATTGCCCTCAGCCCTGATAAAGCAGGGGCTGTAGAGGATAGAAAATAGAACAAGGAAATATTACATAGCTAGGAACTATATAGGATGTGGCTTAGGTTAATAATTGAGAAAAAATGATTGAGTCCCAGAAGCTAACTTAGCTCAAGTTCTTTTAATCTTAATGTTGGAAGCTCTGTTTATAGTTTTTGGTGCATCCCAGCTGAAACAAAGCTTTAAATCTGACTTAAGGTTAGCTTAAGAGGTTTTTATTGATAACTTTGAGGATAAAAAACAAAACAAAACTTGGGAAACAATCTAAAGTTTAGAAAGGTCAAGAAACAAGAACAAAGCAGTCCAATTATTATTACCTGACATGTCTTTCCTGCTGGGATGGGTTGGTGATCAAAGATGATGGTTAATTCCTTATGCCAGTTTCTGCCCTCAGCTTCCTGATACAAAAACCTGCAGATGAATGGGTGTGCACCCTAAGGATTTAAAGTAGAGATGACTGGTTGTTTTTCATATATAAAGGTTCAGATTTGTGATTCTTTTAAGATTCCTTATAAGATTACCTTTTATTAGATAAGTAATAAACACCTTGCTTGCTTATATTCTGTTAATCTATAACAAGTTGCTTGGACATGAATGCATGCAGATTCTTGGGAATAATTTGTTTGTCATATGCAATACATAAAATGTTTCATCATGAAGGGATATGGAAACATGCTGTTTTTTACATGTATTCATTGTAATCATCCACTTGAAAAGTGGGATGCAGCCACATTATAGTTTTTTAAAGGTTTATTTATTATATATACAGTATTGTGCCTGCATGTATGCCTGCACACCAGAAGACGGCACCAGATCTCTTTACAGATGGTTGTGAGTCACCATGTGGGTGCTGGGGATTGAATTCAGGACCTCTGGAAGAGCAGCCAGTGCCCTTAACCTCTGAGCCAACTCTCCATCCTCACATTGTAATTTTTATATTGCTTGAAACACTTTGCTGGGATATATAAGCTGTAAGAAAAAAATAAAATTCAAGTGAGAATGAAGGCATCAAGAGACATAGAAAGGATATATCTGGGAAGAGGTAAGAAAGAAATACAGAGAGAAGCCAGGAGTTGGTGGCTCATGTCTTTAATTCCAGCACTCAGGAGGCAGAGGCAGGCAGATCTTTGTGAGTTTGAGATCAGCCTGACCTAGTTCCAGGTTCCTAGTTCCAGGACAGCCTGACCTAGTTCCTAGTTCCAGCTAGTTCCAGGACAGGCTCCAAAGCTACAGAGAAACCCTGTCTCAAAAAACAAACAAAACAAAACAGATAAA